TGTAGCCCATGTGTTAGTTGCGTGGTGTAGGACTTGCCATGAACTAGTTGTACTTGTGAGGCTTGCTGTATCGTGCCTCATCATACCTTTATTGGATTTTTTGATTGTTTCCATGTTTGGCCCATGTGCTTGCGAACTAACCCGAAGGAATAAGGCAATATCGTGTTCATGCAGCGGACAGAGCAGCGCAACAGAGACTTACGGGGACGCAGCATGAAAACATTCACTGCTTGCAATGCACGGAAAACCGAGCACACCATGACGACGAGAATTGACCATCGTTTGTGCATGTAGTGCACAAGCAGCAGGAACTAATTACAGATTGCTGCAAGGTTGCAAACAGAAGCTAGCTTGACAATCTTCATTCTTGTGTCAAATGAATGCACTCAAGTGAGAAACAAACGTCGCAGACATGCCTGCATGCAACATCGCATACAAAGTCTCCTCATCTGCCACATTATTCACCTGATCCCCCCTTGCCCCTTGCATAAGTAGGCCTGAGCCACTGTGTGATGTTGAAACCGGGGCAAGGGAAAGACGGCCCCCAGAGCCATCGAAACAATGCAAGCCCGTCATGAACTTTTCTTGTGGTTGTTGTGGGAAGCTGGCGAGCTGCTGCACGCCCACAGCAGTTTCCAAGGACCCTGTATGGCGTCGTGGACGCTCGCAGGGTTGGGGCACTGCGAAGGCGACGTGCACGGTCATGCCAGGGGCGCCTTCCAGCCTTTTCGATCGTGGTTTCCGGCTTCCCTCAGCACCTGTATCCGCAGCTGCGAGAGTGCAGGCCGCAGTTGCGCCTACGCATCTTTCAAAGACGACAACCTTTTCCATCGCGAGGATGAGCGCCCGGGTCTCTGCCTTCTTGCCAGCCGCTGCCCCGTGCTTCGTGCCACGAGTTTTGGCGCGGCCACCTTCACTCGCAGAAAGTATCTGCAGGTGCCGGAGCATGGTGGCCCAAGAAGTCCTGGGCGCGACCGGGTGAGCCTGGCTCCTGCCGAGCCTTACTGCTCGCCACGCTGCTCTAGCACTCGGCTGTGTGCAACTTCAGAGACCGTGACTGTAGCAGAGACGTGCAATTCACTGATGGACGGCCTTTTTCGATTGCATAGTGTGGCCGAAACATCAACAAAGTTGTCGGTGGTGATTGTCACCAGTGACGAGCGTTTGTTGTGTGGGCGTGGTGGAGCAGTGCATGCGGCAACCACCTGCCAAACGTCTTGGGAGCTCGTATACGATTTCCCTTCAAACGGAGAGTTCGAAGAGATTTGGTTGCCTTGCGTTCAGCTACGTCATGCGGAGCGCTTCTTGGCCGTGAGCTTCGATGGAAGCTTGGTGCTGCAAGAAACAAGCAGTACCTGCTGGGCAGTAGGCTTCGAGCAGAGGCGCGTGAAGGATCAGTTGCTGCACCACCTTCCTGAAGTCTATGACATCAACATGCACGATCACTATGGGGAAGTGCCGAACTTGTGGGTGCAGGCATCACCAGCCTTTCATCACATGCTGCAGGGGTTTCTGTCCACCCTGCAGCATGCTGGCGATCCGGTGAGGGTCTGTATTCAGTGGATGCACGATGTGAAAGATGCAAGCAAAAAAGGCTTTCAGACTCTTGAAGGGGCCAGATACCTGGATTACGTCTTCCAGAAGTTGATGCTGCAGATCGAGTCTGAGCTGGTAGCCTACTTCGCACCGCCAAGACAGCAGGCCGTGATCTTCTCAGATTTGGACGTGGTTGTTTTTGGAGGTTGGGTGGACACCATGTTGGAATGCGTCACTGGGCCAAATGCAGCGGACGTTTGCTTCACGCAGCGGGGAGGCTTTGGCACTAACAAGCGGCAGCTCGCCAATGCAGGGGTGTATGCTGCACGTGCAGGAAACGGAGCAAACCTTGCGCGTTTGTTGGCTGAGTTGGCGAGACTCCAAAGCCAGGACCTGGTTGGGTGGGTTCGCACCAATCAACAAATCTTGAATCTCGTGCTTCGCGATGTTGCGCGTGCTGTGGCGACATCGAAAGCCACAAAGCCCTTGCGGTGGGGCATCTACAACCCCTTGTCGGCATTCTCAGGTTTCGCGGTACCATCGACAGTTCTGGGGGTAAGACTGCATCACGTCACCGGGTCCGCCGTATCGACAAAGGACAAACTTCGCATGATGGACGCTGCAGTGCTACTGCGCGATGACCTGGAGCAACTCTGTCCTCCCTACACCGTCCGCGAGCATGTCTCGTTCATCGGTCCGCTCAGACGTTACTGCTACCCGTTGCTGGCCGTCGACCCTCATTTCGGGCAGGCTGTGCAGCAGTTTAAGTTGCTGGAGGGCTTCGGTGGCGAGGACCTTGAATTCGTAATAGAGGCATTGCAGACGGCAAGCCAGTTCTGGTTTAGTCAGTGGAAAGTGCTCCTTGACCGATTCAACTGGGAAGGAGGATATCGACATTATCGGCAAGCTCGACAAAACTCGTCGAACTATGTTTGTGCTCAAATTCACGAAAGACCATGTTAGCGCTGGTAAGACTCTGTGCCTGGCAGAGCGGATGGAGCCACTGCCGGCAAATTCTACGTCTCACTGCTGGACTTATTCCGGGAGACATAGAGGAGCTGGGGAACAGATTCGGAACGGAGCTAGGATCTGATTTCCAAGTCTAACGGCGGAAGCAGCAGCTTCAGATCCATGGGCATAGAGGCACCTGCCTTACACATTGATCCTTCAATTCTCGCCTTGGGGCATTGTTTTTAAGCACGCAAGCCAGAGAGCCGGAGCTGAGTCCCTCCACTCACTTCTATCCTCTCTCCTTCACATCCTTCACACTATCAGCTTTGAGGCATGCCGCTACGTCGTGGTCGAAACCTCCTTATCCTAGGCTTCCTGTCGAGTCCATTGTCTAAAATGTCGCAGACGGCTTCTGGTTTGTGATGCCGGGCGGGTGCTCCGAGAGTTCTAAAGCTCAAAGCAGCACACGCAGAGGCAGCTGTTGAAGGTTCATCGAGGCAGTTGGAGGCAGTGCGGTCAAAAGGGCCGGAGGATTTTCCAGATATCTGCCTTGGATGAGGTGTTGCATGGTCCAAGACACTGTTTTGGGAGTGTTGCAGCCTCGTTGGATAGGTTCTGGAGGTCTTGGGTATAGGGTGTTGGGAATTGGCTGTAGGAAACCTCAAACTTGAAACACCATTGAGCTCAAGGCTCAGGTCAGGGTTTGTTGAACCTTTCTGGAATTGAACTGGGTCGGACGTTGGCTTAGAGATTCGCGCAAAGGAGGTTCAGTTTTTTTGTACGTTGTTCCGGCTTTTATCGTACTACAAGTTGGGGCAGTTGGCGCCTGGACAAAGCATACACAAAGGTCATCATTGGAGGCGGAGGATGCTCACGCGGATTGGGGCTGCGCGTCCTACACATGCAGCCACAATAATTGACAATAGTGATAATGATAATGATAGGAATAGTTGTGGTCACCATCTTTATGAGAAACATCATGATGAAAGTGAAATTTTTCTAATGCTAATGGATACAGTAACAACACAGACACAGTGCTGACGAAGCGATAAAAGAAATCATAGCCATCACCATCATCATCAGCATCACCATCAGAATGATCATAATCGTACTATTCAATGCACAATACAGAAGCATGACTGTAACACCAACAATCATACACATAACAATATGAAAGTGATAGAAATAGCCATAAACGGAATAGCAATCAGAATACTGGTGAAAATGCTACTGATAATCACGCTAATACTGGTTTTTTGAGGATGATGATGATGATGATGACGACGATGGTGATGGTTTAGTACATTGCTCTCAGCGCAGATGTGGGGGCCCTGGTTGCTTGAACTCGTTCGGGAGTTCAGATTCCTTCTTCAGCCCTCCAGTCCTGCCATCGGGCCCTCGTTTCTCATCCTGCTGTGTCTCGCTTTCTGTGCCTTTGGCTTTTGCTGCCGTGCTCTTACAGTTAGTTGCCCTGCTGATTTCAAGCCAATTTTGTCGAGCTGCTGGCTTCGCGCTGCGACTTGAGGCTTCGAGCTTGGAGGTTCCGGCCAAGGGCCCTGCTGCGGCTGGCACCGTGCTTGCGAGTTTTCGCGAGTACCGTGAATGAGTGGCGAGGCAGATGAGCTGGAGCGAGTGACTATTCCGTCTGGCTGGCTTGACTATCGATATCTTGCCCGGGCCGAAGCCGGACCCCTTGCTGGCAGCATAGCTGTGCACATCGGCTGGCAGAGTGCACCGAGGCCGAGGACCCCACTCGAGTGGGCATTGGGATGTTTGCTGAACACGCGCGCTGGCGGAGGCGGTTGGGTGAGTGGTCTGCAAGAGGCCGAATCGCTACGTTTGCCTACTCTGCCAGAGGCACCTGCAAGGCTTTGTAACAGAGCCGTGCTGCTTGCTTTGACCACACCAGCGATCGCCCACAGCGTCACTCTGTGAGTCACGGCTTCCCTTCGAGAACAGGAGCACTGGTCTACTGCGAGGCAGCAGATAGGCCATGGCCGGCCGTCCTTGCAGCGAGGCCGAGGTGAGAGCCTTGGTCGAGCCGGGCGATGCTGCTCTGAGCTTCGCCTACTTTTGCGATCTGGAGGAGGAGCCAACATGGGCGACCTCGTTCCTTGTACTTGCTTGCCGTGGCGGCTTTCTTGCAGCTCTGCCTCAAGAGGACCGAGTTCGAGATCATCTTCTTCGGCTGTCGAGGGCGAGGACACCGTGCTTTAGCACGAGGTGACGATCCCAGGAAAAACTCCTCGTCAGCGTGTCGTGGGTGGGCGATGTAGCTGGCTTTCTCAAAGACTTCCCTTGGCAGTTCTTCCCCTTCTTCCGGAAGGTGATTTCTGGCCGTGGCCGTGGTCCGGAACTCCTTCCCCTGACACATGGTGGGGCCTCGCCCGTGGCCTGAGTGGGCCACGTCGCGAACGACCCCGCTCTGGCCGAGTGTGGGTCACCTCAGAGAGTGGCCTCGACACAGGTGAGGACACAGACGCTCTGCAAAGCCAAGTCATCCTCTTCGCGCGTGGCCGCCACCCAGATGCCGCGAACGACGCCGCCACTAGGGCCAAGAGCTTTTGAGGTTTGAAGGAGCGCTCTCGAAAGGGAACCCCGTAACCTCGGCGCCCATCCGCCGGATTGCTACAGCGGTGGCTTGATCGTCCGAGAGAACCTTCACGAACGCGTCGCGGGCTGCTGAGCCCTTGGCTCCCAAGAAGTTCTCCTCCTTAGATGCTGCGTCCACCTCGGCCAGGTCTCGCAGCTCGCTCGTGCCCTGCTAGTTGGCCGGGCACTGGCCCGCCGCCTCGCGAACGGGGCATCGCCAGGATGAGCGACCCGAGCTTCGCGGCGAATGAACCGGAGGCGTCAAGGAATCCGGCCGTTTGGGCGGCTCATCCCAACGCCCGGATGTCTGCAAACGTCCTATGTCAATCAGATGGACTTCCTCGCGGGCCACGGCCTCGTACGACACAATCCTATCCTCCTGCAAACCCGCCTCCTGTAAAACCATGCCACGTTTTTGAGGCGGCCGCCGCGCAAGCCTCGAGGCACGGGCAACGAAACCAGCTGAACGGAAAGCTGCACGTGTGCCAGACCTCTGATGTGAATTTCGGAGTGTCTACTGGGTGCGCGGAGCCGTGCCGGATTCGGATGATACACTTAGGGGTCCGGGTGCCAGTTTTGGGGAAGAGTTGAAGAAATGGAACCGTAGTGAACCCTAAACCAAAGCCTCGGCAAATCCGGATGTGCCGCAGGATTTTCTTTACTAGGTCGAGCACTTTAATGCAAATTCGGGGTCACTTAGAGCGGGTTTAGCCACTTTCACACGTCTCTCCTTGGCATCCTACGCCTGCAGAGAGGAGCCTGTTTTAAAGGATCCGGCGACATCTAGCCTGTCCCGGCCCATTCACAGTGCAGCCCTGACCCTCGACGGCGGCGCCGGCACCGAATGCTCGCCGCAGTGCGCTCGGTTTTGTGCGTGCAGGTTTGCTGCCTTAATTGGTTGTACGCTTGTGTCGGGCAGCCTTTTTCTGCAGCAGCAGACCCTGGATGCCCTTGAGCGTCATGCCGCCTACTTTTGCAGTGCCGAGCCCTGGTCGTGGACACATCAGTGAAAAATTCAACCTCCTGCTGGAGCTGGCTTCTGCTTTGTTTTGGCTGGATTCTTCGGATCCTGTTGCATCGGATGCCCGCTAAGCAATCCCTGCAGTCGTGGTGATGAGCATCTTTGGATGGGCCTCCCCTGATGTTCTCAGGTGCTTGATGCCGTGCATATTCTCAGGTGCCATGAATCAGGATGTACCCACAAGGAGTTGTTTTCACCATAGAAGCCTGCAGAAGCATGCTTCCCCAAAAAGCTTCGTTCACAAGCACTTCGATGATCCCAGTGAGCTGATGTTTCAGGTTCCGGCACGGTTCCCGCATCAGAAGCTGTAGACGGGATTTTCATGTGCTTTGCTTGTCCATGAGACATTATGTGCAGGTGTGCAGTATTGAAGCCCATTTCCTGTAGGAGGGATGCGCTGAACTTGCGTGCCTGTGTTGCGTCGTAGTCTCCCCTGTAAGCCGCATGTTGTCAAGCCAGGTCTTTCTTTTTGGGGCGCTCAGGCAGATCCAAATTAGCGCGTCTCCGTTTTCATCAAAGCGGGTTGCGCAGCACTACGCTCAAGCCATCTTGCTGCTGAAATCAGCAGCGGGGAGTGCACAGCAGAGAGCGCTCACGTTCCCCCGGCTCTCGAGATGGCAAGAGTTGCAGCGTGTTGAAAAGAATCTGCATTGAAGTCCAATTGTTGGAATCAGGCTTCGGTCCGGCGGATACGCTACGGTGAAGCTTTGTACAACCACTTGTCTGGTGTTCCATATTTCCATATTTCCATATACATCCATATGTTCGATATCGAACCTTTCCAACGCCAGTGTGATCAACTGGTACGCTGTACTCACAAACGAGCGGTGCTGGACACAGTGGTCTCGGCCTTAACCCTGCTATGTGACGGCATGTGCATCAGCCACGTTGGGGACCTCCAGAGCACATCCGCTGAGTCGGCTGATGCCTTGGCCTATCGACTCATATTGTGTGTCTTTGCCATCGTGGCTTGGATGCTTTCCAAAAGACGGCCTTCAAGAACTGTCTGTCGCTGCCTAGATGCTTTGAATCAAGCTCTCTTCGCTTGGATTTGGAAGCCGACAGGAAGACGGTGCCGCACATCTTCTCAAGTGCAGCAAATCTTTGGAGCCGTTACAATGGCACGCAGTGCCATCTGGCTCCGCATGCACTGGCGAAGCAAGCTCGCCAAGCAGATCGGGAGAATGATGCCCGCATTCGTCCGAGAAGTATGGTGGCCAGATGCAACAACCAACAAGAGTGATGTTCTGAACTTGTTCTTGAACATGCAGCTTGCAGCCTTGCTCAGGCCGGAAGCACAGACGGACTCTGCATGGCTTTATTGCTGGTGGCAGCGTGGTTTCAAATACGTGGGCATGGCCCGTGCCCGCCGTTCAGAGCAATGCAAGTCTGGGGGGCC